AGGACGCTGCTTGTCTCTGTTGCCAAGATCAGCAAGAGAACCGAATTGAATGTTTATGAAAATGATCACTGTTTAGTTTGAGAACCAAATGAAGCTTATAAATTCACTGTGTGGAGAAAACATAGTTAATGATTATTACAGGAGGTGGTATATACTGTTACCATTAATGAGCTATACATATATAATCCCTGTCGCTATTGACAGATTTAGAAAACTCGGGGTTGGCGGTTCTCTGAAGATTCTGCTTGTCTGCCAAAGTGAAGTGCAAGGTCATGATGCGACGCTGACTGATCTGTGGTCCAACTCTGGTTGAGTGAGGGAGGGGCACATGGCCTTGCAGTGCACATTTTAAATTAGAATGCAGCAGGGATTAGCAAGGCCCTCACTCAGTCGGAGGCTCCCTTGGCAGTGAATAATAAGATTATGGTCTTCTATAATGTGGTACCATTTAGTCCAGTAGGAGTTCATTAACATTTTGGAAGAATGTCGCCCCTCCATCCTCAGGGTCGAAGAGTAAGATAGGCAAGCAACCAGCAAGTGCAGGAAGCAAGCATTTGCTTGCTTGGCCATGAAAATAGGGGCACTATATTCCTTCAAGCTGGTCACAGTAGCCGAGTGGTCTAAGGCATGCACTGTCTTCACTCACTTGGAAGCCAGGATCATGGGTTCGAATTCCACTCAGGGCATGGATGTTTGTGTGCGTTTTTCTGTGTTTGCATACAGGTAGAGGCCTTGCGACGAGCTGATGACCCGCCCAAGGAGTCCTATCATATGTCTAAGATCTAGTAAAACCGAAGTGAATGGAGAGTTCCATGGAGGTAGGCCTAGGCCCAAATGAGGGCTGTAGCACCAATGAAAAAAAAAATATTCCTTCAAAATGTCAGTATGCTTCTTCTAGCCTACCTGGTGCCAGATCCCAAGGCGAGCAATGTTTACAGTTACCACTTTGAAGAACTCACATACAATTAAGTAACTCTGAGTAGGATAATTATTCATCCCTCTGCCCTGACAGAGTTCTCTTATTGGCAGATTATAATGTCCTTTCCTCTTTAATAAGAGATTTCAAGTATGAGTCAAAGATGAAAATATGTTATATGAGTAGTACTGCAGAGGGGAGCATATACCTTTGTTAATGTTGGCACATAGAAGACATTGTTCATGCCCAAGGACACTGTAACTCTTCTCTAAACTCAGATACATATAACAAGACATCAGTTTAATCTCATTCGTTAGCTTCAGGCTTAACCAATATGAGCAAGCAAGAATGGTGTGTATATTTTTAATGTGAATGTGACAAACTGACTCCAGTACTTAGAATACAGTCACAAGTAGTGGATTGTTTCATGTAGTTCAAGAGGAAGGCAGTGTCTGTTTTCTGAGAACTTTATTTTTTTTAAGTGACCTATATGAGTGGGGCTTGTGGGCTGCCACTTACACACCACAAATTGCAAAATAAAAACTCCTTGCTTTGTGTGTACAGCTCGTTTTACTTTTAACCTGTTGATCCTTGTGACACTTTGTATGGGACTTCAAATATTAAGCTACAGAATGAACTAAGGGAACACTGACAGTGCAGATGTTTCGATGTGTGGCAGGTGAGGTATCGAGATGGAGGAGGGCTGAGAGAGCACACGGTGAGGAATGTGGTAGGATGGGGTAAGGAGAAAACCAATGCAGAGACTGGAAAAGCGGACAGCTCTTTGTGACACTGCTGCACAGTTAGACGGAAGAGAATTCACTGAGTAAGTATGCAAGTAGGAAATGTCATTTTACGGATGATGTGTTGACTTTCTGCAGGCATATAGGAATTATGTTAACTGTCAACACAACAAATATACTCAGTTTTAATATTCCATTAACGGTTGATGGTTGACATAATTCCTACATATATATGGAACACACAACATGATGCAACCAATGAAGAGACTTTCTGCATGTTCAGTTTCACTTGGAAGTTAAATTTGAAGAGAGGCATCCAGTGTCACTACACAATTCTACATCTAGTGTGAAAATTTCAAATAGGGAATTTGAAACCCCTGGATACTGTGGGGCTGACAGTCTCAGCATTTGGTCAGCTGGACTGCATACACGTGCCATTACAGTAATGAAACACCTGAATAATAAAGGTTGGAAAAAATTAGTATAAAAATATAACAGCCAAGCAGGCTTGCTCATTTGCTTATAGGCAGACACTTAAATGCTACTAAAAACTGGTGATGTTTACGTTGGATATAACACTTCAGTTATAAAGAACTGTTTCTGATAATACATGACAACTTGCAGCTCAGACCAAAAAGTCGGAAGTAAAGCATCCCTGTGCAGAACAGAGTGTTTGCGGTAACTGGGTTCATCACCCAGCAGTAGGTTACTGTATGAGTCTGTATACGGAGTAGCGCTAGTGTTGCAGCAAAGGCAGTTTTGGAGCTTTTGAATGTATTGTATGTCAAATGTTAAACGAAGTACAATGATTTTAACTAGAATTTTTATAGTGTGAAAGTTCTGTGATGTTTAAAATTACTTTAAATAATCTGCCAAAGATGGTAACAAAAGGCTTTCCTTGGAACAGAAGAGGTGACATCTGGTAACGTGAAATTATGACTGCAACCACATGTACGTATGTGGTAGATGCAGAATTCACTATACAAAGTATTCATTTCCACACCAGATCACATTACATACTGCTGCAAATTTAATATATATATATATAAATAAAAAATAGAATTATCAGAAAATGAAGTGAGCGAAGTCACTTTGTGCTGTGTGTACATGTGTGTGTTGACACTGAACTTGTACTGTGATATTAGAATGGATTTCTGTGAAGTATAGTACGTGTATGTAATGGAGAATTGTGTGCTCTGTGTAATGGTTACACTTCATTGCTTGGGATAAGGTGGCCCAATGGCAAAGTTGCTGTTACAAGTGATGAAGGCTACCATCCATTGGAGACTGAGCGAGGAGTGTCTGTTCCATTGGGAATGTGAGAGTAATTGTAAGGTGTATGTCATATCAAACAGTTATTATGGGGTATATTTTTTAGCTACAAATTAGTCTTCTTGAATTTTAAAATAGTGTATACACAATTCATAGGTAGGTTCTTATTTTATTTTTATATTATTAATGGAAGATGGGAGCAGAGATAGCTCAGTGCAGTGACTAGGCTCTAAAGTGGGTTCAGTTCCTTGTAGGGACAGAGATTCTTTGCCATCTCATCCAGATCAGCTCTGAGCATTGCCTGGCCTCCTATCCATTGGATACTAGGACCTCTTTCCCTTGGGCTGAGTAGCCAGGGCATGAAGCTGACCATGTAAAGCCTAGGCTGAGAATGAAGGGAGCTGTATCTCCACTAACTATGCATTTCTCTTCATGTGTAGAGGGCAGTGTTGCAAACTGCAAGCTCCGTTCTGTTGACAGATCTGGAAAGATAATGGTGAAGGAATTGCTGTTCCAAGGTTGTCATTAGATTTTATTTCAATGAGGAACATCTGGGAAGTGCACCGCTTACACAGCAGTGTTCTGATGGAAGGTCGAGGTCATAGAACGCTAGCCTCACTGCTCCATCATTTTCTTGTGCTGCAGCTATACATCTTGTCACCTATATGCTGTTGACAACTAGGGGTTCCCACTTACTCATTACAGTGACAGTTTAAATTAGCACAGTATGTATGCTGTTTACCCACATCAGCCATGATATGAAAGGTCACATGATCACGTGCATGACTGGCAGCATGTGCATACTGTTATGATGCAGATGAAAGCAAGGGGGGACATTTCAGGAGAAATGCTTTAGTGCCCTGTGTTGTGATGTGGGTATGGGCCAGGGACCATGAACTTAGAACATGCACAGAAATGTGTGCGCTCTGCTGAAACAATTTGAACTTTCATGAAGAGTGTCATAATGCATGGTATTGCCACTTGTATCAACACATGCTGGGCCCTTTATGTCAGCAGTTTATTCACATCATAAAAGTAAGTTCTAGTGTCTTGTGGTTTGATCTTTTTTCTTTGTTTTGTAGAAACTTTGTAAAACTTGCCATTGTACATATCACAAACCCCACGATCCTTATATACCATTTTGTTGCTTTGATCCAACTAACAAATGCCCGTAACGTCATGCAGTGTGAGTGTCTCATTAAATTTATTCTGTATGCAGAACCACTGATAACATAATGGTGTAAGGGAATTGAATCATGATTTGGGGGTCAGTGAAACTTTTGGAACTTTGTGGCTGTGAGTTAACATCTGTATAGGCTTGCACCTTCTCTAATGGCCATTCAGAATACACAGCAAGTCATCTGTGTGCCATATTGCAGCTGTTCCGTTAACACTTTAAAGCTGACATTATTACATATGGTTAAAATTCCTGGCTACAGATCCAGAGGTCCTGAGTTCGATTCCCGGTGCTACCAGATTTTCTGAGTAGTGGATTTGGAATGGAGTCCACTCAGCCTCATGATAATTGAGGAGCTACTTGAATGGAAAAGCGACTCTGGTCTAGAAAACTGAAATCAATGGCCGTGGGGATTCATTGCGCTGACCATGCAACACCTGCTATCCATTAAAGTTGGCATTAACGTCGCTGACAAGCAGCGGTTGCTCGGTCGGTATATTTTGCTTGAAGACTCAAAACACAGAGTTTGTTTTGTAATGAAGTTATTGCCTGCAACTACATTCTCAATAATTCTGTCATGTGCACCACAAGTTCCACCCTTAGTGCAATGGCTGCAGATTCCTTTCAAGATTTTTGCACTTTCACGCCCTCCAGATGGGATGCAATAGAGCTACTGACAGTTTCAACAACATAGACCTGCACTCAGATGCCACACAATTTGTGAGATCTCCCAAACATAAAGGGAAAATTAATCAGTATTATAATAATTCTTTATGAGAAGTATGCAAATTTGTATTTCAAACTTAATGTACACTACTTGTATTCTCTTCATCACTAGGCTGACATCCAAATTTAAACAGAAACGGCAAACACACAAAATCTGAATCATACACTCATTAACAAATTTGTTTAATGCTGACAGAAACCATGTAAGTGGTAAATGAAACATATTTTAATTAAATTCTACATTACATTCTTCTGTTTCATAGTCATAGCTCCTTTTCAGTGTACACAGAGAACAGCACTCAAGGCTTGCTTTGGAACAAGATGCTGAATCTCTAAAACACAGAATTTTCCCATCCAACTTTACATTTGCTGTAGTTCTATTTCATTAACTCTGGAATGTATTTTCAAATTTAAACTCATAGGTCAAAAACAAATTTCATCACTTTCAAGTATGTCATTACCTGCTCTGAATATAAAAGAATATCTTTACTGCTGTCAACAATACCACTGGCTTTCCCCTCCTCAAAACCATCCATTAACCAGAGAGTCTTCTCCCAGTCTGCAAGAAACAATTGGCACAATCTAACATCCACTTCACGCATCATGTAACAACTTGCGGCCTTCCATCTACAGTACCTCACTACACTGGAGGCACAAGTCCGTCTTCAACTCGAGACTCAACTTTCACTCCCAGCTTAAGTGGGTCCTGAAGATGGCATCAGAAAGTTGCCCTGAAACAATGTACATACACAGAAAATATTACGACATTGCAACAAAATGCACTCCCCTATTACATTCATTATACAGTCTAACCCAGTGTTTCCCAAGAAACTTCCATTACAGCATAATTAAGATAATTAAATATACCACTTTCAACTAAGTGCCTTCACCTCAGCTTTACAAGGCATGCAATTCAGCTCACACCCTCCGCCAGAACGTACTTTGCGATTCTCAAATTATGCACAAACGAACTGTACTGCGGCCATTTCTGGCCTATTGTACCAGCCCCAGATGATAGGTGAGGTTGACTGTGGAGCAACTGATGGAATGAAGATTGGCAGGGGAAACCGAAGTACTCGGAGAAAACCTGCCCCCAGTGCCACTTTGTCCACCACAAATCCCACTTGACCCGACCCTGGATTGAACCCAGGCCACTGCGGTGGGAAGCCAGCAACTAACCGCTTGAGCTATAGCGCAGCCATATACATGTAGAAATTATGTTAACCGTCAACCGTTAATCAAATATTAAAACTAAGTATATTTGTTGTTTTGACGGTTAACATAATTCCTATATGCCTGCAGAAAGTCAACACATCATCCATAAAATGACATTTCCTACTTGCATACTTACTCAGTGAATTCTCTTCCGTCTAACTGTGCAGCAGTGTCACAAAGAGCTGTCCGCTTTTCCAGTCTCTGCATTGGTTTTCTCCTTACCCCATCCTACCACATTCCTCACCGTGTGCTCTCTCAGCCCTCCTCCATCTCGATACCTCACCTGCCACACATCGAAACATCTGCACTGTCAGTGTTCCCTTAGTTCATTCTGTAGCTTAATATTTGAAGTAGTTATCTCCTGCTTATTTGAGGTCCCATACGAAGTGTTGCAAGGAGATTTCATTCTGCAATTTGTGGTGTGTAAGTGGCAGCCCACAAGTCCTACTGCCTTCCCCTTGATAAGTCACTCTGTCTCAAATCCCTCGGTGGGTATGTAATTGTAACAGTGCACATGTGTGAAAGGAAACAGAACTGCAGCATTTCTGGGTTGTGAAGGGGAAACATTAACAATACTTAAATTTTTCATTTTGGTTCCAAATTTTCTTTTGGCACTCAAGTGTTCCAGTTCACAGTAGTTGTGGACATAATCATCTGATGTTGAGGCCACGGAAAGAAGGCCTGCGGATGATGGCGCCACTTTGTGCCTGCTGTTTATAATCCCCTCTGGCCTAAGTCAACACATTCAAAGCACTTGATGGTGTAAGCAAAGGTTATCACTAACATCATTCCTGCGAACAGACTGGATGTTTCCACGGGACTTCTTTCTGTGGCCTCTGTACAGGTTCTGTAATATTTCTCGACTGCATAAATGAGGATTTATGCAAAGCCAGCAGCTACGGCATTCACTGACTCTTGTGCCATTAGTCTGCTGAGAGGGGAACATGGCTCACCAAGAATAATATATAGTGTGTTCTGCTTCCATGAGACAGTTTGGCAATACAAACTTGCGCAGTCAGTGGATTCTGTATTAAGTTTACAAAAGTGTACAAAGATTACATTAATGTTGACAAAAAGATTATTAGTGGGGGGTGGAGTCCAACTGGGTCCACTTGGCATGGCAGCCACTGATTGGCCTATTGTAGCCTGCCCTGAGTGTTTACGATTATGGAGAATTTGGTGGAATGAAGATTGGCAGGGGAAACCAAAGTACTTGGAGAACCCCCCCCCCAGCGCCACTTTGTCCACCACAAATCCCACTTGAACAGACCTGGGATCAAACCCAGGCCGCCACAGTGGGAAGCCAGCGACTAACCGCTTGAGCTATGGTGCGACCATTTGACAAAAATATACTCTTAACATCAAAACAAAGACAGGAATATTGAAATTGTTGACTGTGGAATATTAAATTTCTGTTCTGAAGTTTTAAAGACCAGTTAAAAGGTCTAATAATGGTGAAATAAAAGAACTGAATAGAAAAGCAGAAGAGAATAATAAAGATATCCAATTAATTTAGAAGAGGTAACACAACAAACTAATGTATATGGGCATGTTCATTTATCTAGTATGTGCTCTTAAATGGCAGTGACAGCTGCAAGTGGGTTCAATCAGTACTCAAGGTGAAGAATCAACAAGTGCAACCAGTCCTCCAGCTTGACCATTGGGAAACAGCTAACAAACTCACAGCATATAAAGCTACGAAACATGACATGAGCCCTGGACTCCCTGGTGTGATCTAAAGCATTGCCTAACCTTTACTGATTGTACATGGAGTATTCTCAATGGCCCACCCTGGTCCATTAGGACTTGTAGCAAGTAAACACATTGTTAAAATGTCAGATTACCATATCAGCACTGTCATTTTCTCTGCTACTCTATACATATCTCCTGCTGTGAGTAATTTATAATGCTGAATCTCGTAAGATGATTCTCAACCTCAAAAGGATTTCTACTTTTGTTTCATCTCTTTTACAGTGCTCAGATTATAAAGCACTGAATGGAAGGAAGAATAATGAATACTGAATTGGAAAGGATTTTGAAGGTCATGGTCTAATTGAGGTACTATCCCAACATGTATCTAGAGGGACTGAGGATAATCAAGAAAGACTTGGTGAGATTAGTCTGTTTTCTGGCCAGGACCCAAACCAAGCACCTCCAAAGTTAAAGTCTAAAACATTGCTGCTACATCAAGTAACACAATCAAGATGAATGAACGCTCAAAAATGTAAAGTTGTGTTTGTGCTCAATTAATTGAACACCATAACGGCCGTGGGGATTCGTTGTGCTGACCACGTGACACCCTCTAGCCACAAAAGTTGGCACTAAACTATACCGACTGAGCGACCGCCGCTTGTCAGCGAACAAGCGGCAGTCACTTGGTCAGTATAGTTCGCTTGCGGACTAAAATCACGNCCTAACCTTTACTGATTGTACATGGAGTATTCTCAATGGCCCGCCCTGGTCCATTAGGACTTGTAGCAAGTAAACACATTGTTAAAATGTCAGATTACCATATCAGCACTGTCATTTTCTCTGCTACTCTATACAGATCTCCTGCTGTGAGTAATTTATAATGCTGAATCTCGTAAGATGATTCTCAACCTCAAAAAGATTTCTACTTTTCTTTCGTCTCTTTTACAGTGCTCAGATTATAAAGCACTGAATGGAAGGAAGAATAATGAATATTGAATTGGAAAGGATTTTGAAGGTCATGGTCTAATTGAGGTACTATCCCAACATGTATCTAGAGGGACTGAGGATAATCAAGAAAGACTTGGTGAGATTAGTCTGTTTTCTGGCCAGGACCCAAACCAAGCACCTCCAAAGTTAAAGTCTAAAACATTGCTGCTACATCAAGTAACACAATCAAGATGAATGAACGCTCAAAAATGTAAAGTTGTGTTTGTGCTCAATTAATTGAACACCATAACGGCCGTGGGGATTCGTTGTGCTGACCACGTGACACCCTCTAGCCACAAAAGTTGGCACTAAACTATACCGACTGAGCGACCGCCGCTTGTCAGCGAACAAGCGGCAGTCACTTGGTCAGTATAGTTCGCTTGCGGACTAAAATCACGGAGTCATACCATGAAGATGCATGGAGGAGTGAGGTATAGCTTCACCATACTTGTCCTCAGCAATAGGAGGAGGTGTGGGGTCAGCTTCATGCCCTGGCCGCTTTACCACTGAGGAAAGCCGCAGTACACATTGGAGAGTAGGCTGGGTAGGCCCCAGCACTGATCTGGATGCTGTGGAGTAGAGAAAGTCTCTTGCCCCTACCGGGAATTGAACCCTAGCTGTCCAGCCTGTAACCCATCACTAATCGTGCTATCCTAGCTCAGATGATCACAAAACTGAAATACACACTTTACAATTTTATAGTAAATGCAGTGTTGGAAAAACACTTACTGTAATGTATGTTCATTTTCCGTAGTAGCAGACCTACTTCACGATTTCAAAGCTAGTACAGTGTCCTCGACTACAATAGCAAGCATCCATATTGGCCTTATGAAGCAGAAATGATGCGGTGAACAAACTCTTGTGCACGTAACTTGACAGCACCAGTATTAAAGTACTCAGCTTCTTTCAGAAACCACCTGTCGATGCTGAAGTCTGGAAAGAAGATTTCTATCTCTCTCGTTGCTGACTCAGGAGAATCTAAAAGCAGGAGTTTGTGCCCATCATGTAGCAATGCAATACTGTTCAGATAAGTTAAGTAACTGGCTATATAGCTCACCTGAGCCATGTGTTGCATTGCGAGTGTCGGTGAGTCCAAATCTGCCTCTAATGCTCTCAGGAGCCGTAAACTGAGCATGGTACACTTTTGTTGGCCCCATCAGGCTCCTCCAAACCTTAATTGCATTCTGTCGTGCCAATATATGCACTTCGGATGGGCCACTGTAACACAAAAACACCATCTACTCAAACAACTTCAGAATACAATGATTATATTTGGCTTGCATTATCATGATGTCATCTTGCAAAATTTGTGTTTGGGGGCTCTACATGTCTGGAAATGTTATTCTACCAGCACAAAACTTCAGTGTATGTCACAGAATTTGTTACATGAGTGTGAAATGTACTGGAACATTGGCACTATTTTCGTACTAGGTGAATATGAATTAGGTCATGTGATGGGACCTTACACCCCTACCTGAGAGTACCAACCCACTGGCCAGCATCTCAATGTATGAAGAGGCAATAATATGATTTTGATTTCTGGGGGTATGCCACACTGAATGTTGAAGATTTTTCAACACTTCATCAAACACTGCAGTTTCCCTCTTCAGCAATAATGTTTCTAGAGGGAGGTAAAAAAAAAGAAGATAAAGTGTCCCTGTGCTTAACTAATTAAGCACCACACCATAAAGGTGTATGTGGGAGTGGAGGTATAGACTCACATTTGCTTGACCTTGGTACTAGTTGGAGGTGAGCGGTCAGTTTCACACCCCTGTCACTCATGAGGTACATCCTGTAACTACATTGTATATATAAAGTGAGTTCTGAATGTAATATACTGCACTCTAGTCTGTTCCACATCCTACTTTGTAGGATCTACTAGGATCTACCTGCATCTATTCATTCAAATTCACCAGGAAAATAAAAAACAAGTAAAGGGTAAAGCTGTCCTTGTACTTAACTAGTTAAGCACTATGCTATGAATGCATATGGGGAAGTGGATGTATAGACCCCTGTTTTCTTGACCTTGGCACTAGTTGGAGATGAGTGCTCAGCTTCACACCCCAGCCACTTTACCCCTGGGGCAAGAGCCCCCAGTACCCATTGGGTAGGAGACTGCGTGGGCCCCAGATCCAGTCTGGATGATGTAAAGAAGAGAAAATTCTTGACCCAACCAGGACTCAAACTCTGAACCCTCTGTAGCCAGTCGCTATACCGACTGTGCTATCCCGGCTCTCGACAGGAATATAATGGAAATTAAACTACATCAACCAAGGCATCTCTTTTAAGTGTATGGTCATTAACTAGACGAATATTTACGCTCAAAAAAAAAGGGGGGGGGCTGTAAGGTATATAGCAGAGGTAAAATAACTGGAATCATGAAAAGGTGGCTTTAGGTAACAAAAGATATTAACGGTACACTCACTATACATTCAAGAAACAATCTTATATGCAAAAGAAAAGTGTAACTGCACTGTAAATAAACAAGTACATATATTTAACACAAGAAATAATAGCTACTTGTATCATAGGTACGTACATAATTTAGAACTTTATAACAGTAAACCATCGATAACAGGTTGTATCTTCTATAACAAATTTCCCACCCACATAAAACAAATAGGTAACACAACCTGTTTAAAAAGGAACTGAAGGATTTACTTATTAAGGGATGCTATTATTCAATAGAAGATTATTTCAATGAAGAATTCTGAAATATGAGCTACTGATAAGATGTATAGAATAAGCTATATTTCTAACAAGTTTATACCATCATCATTAATGCATTTTGATAATAATATAGGCGGACAATCTATTTTGATCTACAGGATAAAATAAAATTGAGGAAAATGAAACATTTGTTGGTACTATTAGCTGCATTAATAGCAATATCTCAAATTATGAGCAACATTTAGGCCACACATAAATTGGTACTTAAGTATAACAGAAAAATCGTTATTAATCGGTTGTACCTTCATGTAAGGATAAATATACAGGACTATTTGGATACCTGATCCAAAGTTAATATCTGCCTCTGACTGCTACTCGGTCAGTGATATTGTTCCATACATTATGATGTGGCTACCGTTCTTATACATTGGAGTTCTGGAAGAGGCAGACAATTACCTTCGCATTAACGTCACAAGTCTGTTATAAAAGAACTTATTTCTGTGTTCAGCATAAAATTCTGCTGCAACTTCTTCAGTCATTATTGTGGACTTCCTCTGCACTACATAAAATCCACTAGACAGAATGGTCTCCCGAATTTTCTGCAAATAATTCAAACACATAACCTTACACTTCATCATCCAAGTTTATACATATTCAAATTATACTGAGGAGAGACTTAACTCCAACCTGTAAAGCATGAGGGGCTTTTGTTACATGCGGTTTTATAATCGCTAGCGTCAGCTGTAAATTTCCTTGCATTATAACTGTATCCCATCTGAAAGCAGCTGTATATAAAAACGTAAACTGTTGTTTCAGCGGCCATGAAATCCCAGACAGGCCGTTGCCTGGGAATGCCTTGGGCAACAAACGCGTTTCCCCGAAGACGGAAGGTTCGTTGTACAACCAAAAACGTTACCTGTATTCTACAATTTACCACATTCCCAAGATAACAGAACGTTCCCTGCGTAGCAACGGCCTCGAATACGTTACCCTCGCCCAAACCAAGGACCCAAGAAGGCCTACAAGGCCAAGAACGGCCAAGAATATTCGAGCACGAACACGAACAACACGAACCCGATCTATCTTGCAGACGTTGCAGACGAACGTAAATGCAGTGACACACACCAGAGAGCGGGCAAGCCGCGCGATCAGGTTGAGCGGCCAGCCGGGCAGGTAGCACATGGGTTGTGCAGGACGTGAAGGACTGCGTGAACAGGCATGCAGTGGCCGTATGATGCGTTTGGAGACTACATGCATTTTCATTCGTGCTCCATGCCCTGCCAACCTCATCCTCCTTGACTAGTGATATTGAACACAGTTCAAAAATAGAAATAGGTTAGGTGGAAACCCTCTGCAGTACAAGAGATCTGGTTGTAAAAGAATTTATTGAGATTCTAGCGAACAAAGCCTTGGGGGGGGGCACTCAAAATAGTTGCTATGTTAGCATACCTTCTTACCGATTGTGCTCTCTGCCCTGTCGGTCATTTTAAATTTAGTTAATGTTGGAGGCGTAGAGATGGCAGCAGCACTGCACCGTGGTGTCATGGCGGCTATGTTGCCAACCAATAACACGGGAGTTTCACGGGGCTGCCCAGTACCTCCTGCCCTTTACTATAAAATGAATTCTTCAGAGGGGCGGTTTGCACAGACCAATAAGTTGTGGATGCTTTTGTTAACTAGGTTTATAGCAAAAATTTCTACCTCCTTTTCTATCCTAGTTCCACTCATGTGCGTGTTTTATCTCATTTTTAGTTTCAAATTTTCCTGTTAAGTCGCACTGAATTAGCTTGGCCTCAAATGTTTAATTAACTGCGTGATGTGGGTGTGAAA